ATTTTAAAAAACTCAATGAACAAAGTTAGGAATGGTAAGGATACGGGAATCTGGATACCGCCACTGTTCGAAGCATCTTTGGACTTACATTGGAGTTCTCCAGATTTCCAAAACAAGAGTGTCATTGCCAAGGCTAATCGAAGTCGTTGATAAGGGTGCCTCGACTATCGTGGGGGTTCCATATCTACTGCAGCTCACTTTGAGAAGATGGTAAGTTTATTATATTTTTATATAAGTAATTTAATACAATATATTACACTTTAGGTAATGAATTTTGTCTCATTTTAATGAGTAGACTACGGAGTTTCAACGGAACCAACCGTTTGGGAGGTTGTTGAGAGGACAAAGAAATTAAAGACTGGACAATGGGTCAATGAAAAAACTCGTTATCTTGCTCGTATGTTTAACATCTAAGTTATAGTTTATTATTCAATATATGTTTTCTTCATAATAATTATATTTCACTTCATTTTTAGGAACAATATATGCAGCGCAGAGAAGAAGTCCATCAACATAACTTGCGTGAAGGCTCATCTTCACAAGAGTCTCCTATTGTCTCTATTGATGATAATGAAATATACATTTCAGCTTGTTGGAGGTGAAAATAAAAAAGGAAATGTGTATGGACTTGGTACATTGAGCAAAAAGTTCACTACTACATCAGGTTCTCAATCTTCTATTACTCAAACTCCAGTACTTCATCAAATTGAACAAATGCGTGAGACTATTGAAAAGTTAAATGCTGAATTGGTGGCAAAGCATAATAAGGAGAAGACACTTCAAGAAGAGATGCAGGAGTTGAGGAACAACCAACGCCAACAAGATGAGCAGATGAAACTTATTTTACAACATATTCAAATGAATAGTCATCCTACTACAAGTCAACATGACACCGACAATATACCGGAGGACTAATTTTCAATTTTATGATATTAAGATTTTGAATCTTGAGTAGTTGTTTAGAAACATTTTATTTCGTTATGACTTTGAATTGTTCTTATTATGATTTGAATAATTTGACTTTAGTTCTTAAGTTTTCATTTGTGTTCTGTTTGGATGAATTAAGTAGGTACAAATTTTGTAAAATTGGATATACAAAATTTTAAACGAAAATTTTCAGATTTGGTTAGATTAGCGACCGAATTTTTGGTTGCTACAAATTTATTATAATATACAATTCAATTTTAGTGACCGATTTAGCGACCGATTTAAATTATTATTTAAATAATTCAATTAATGTATTAGCGATCGATTATATCTCGTCGCTATTATTTTTAACTTTGTCTCCAATTTAGCGATCGATTTACTATATTAATTTACGTCGCTATTTTTGCGATCGATTTAGCGATCGATTTTAATTATTATTTACATAATTATATTAATATATTAGCGACCGAATATATCGATCGCTATTTTTTAAAACTTTACCATCGATTTAGCGACCGATTTATTATATTAATTTCGGTCGCTATTTTGGTCTTCAATGAATAAGTAACCAAATTATTTAGCGACCACCTTATCGATCGCTATTTAGCGACCGAAATGTAAATCGATCGCTAACAAATTAGCGACTTGCCCTTTTGCGACCAACCATTTCGGTCGCTAATTTCGGTTGCTAACAGAATAGCGATCGATTTTTGGCCATTAGCGACTGATTTTTTCGGTCACTAATAGCATTTTTTCTTGTAGTGAAATTACCGAGAATTATTTCAATCAAGTGAATGATATAGACAAATCAGAAGAGCGTTATATGATTATGAATTTCTATAATACAATTAAGTATCATTTTTTACTCATAATTACCTTCTTCAAATGATGACATGACTCAATCATAAAATAAAATTAAAAAAATGGGATGGTCATCAATTTCATTAAAGACATTTGGATAAACACATTTTTTACTTAATCTTATTCGAATTACTGTGTTAGTTTACGCAACGGTCAAAATATCATAAAATATAACTTATTTTTTTTAAATTTAAGATTTAATAAATTTTATAAAAATAAGCAAACAAAAATATAAAAAATAGAAATTAAAAACCAACATTTTAATGACAAAAAATGCTATTGAAAGTGACATCTTAAACAATATTACAATATTGTAAAAAAGTTTGATTATAAATCAATATTTATAGAGTTAATTTTAGTTAAAAAAATTATGAGTAATAACGATAAAATTTAAATTTTAGTAATAAAAATTTAAAATTGATGAAATTAGATTAATTATTTTTTGTCTATGTGATTTTTTTTTTCATAATGTCTTCTAATTTTTCATGAATAAATAAAATGTCTTATAATAAAATGAAGTAACTTAAACCCTAACATACTTTATGTTTAATATTCACCACTTAACCCTAAATTTCTATTTGTCGTTCTTAATAGTTGATTTTATTGCTAAAAGAAAGCAGTTGGTTTCATAAACTAATTATTAGGCATTAAACTCTAATATTGATAATCCTTTTTATAGACATTTTAATCATTCTTAAAACTATTCATTTTTTTCTCTCTCTCTATTAATAAGGATGTATAATGGGTTTATACTTTAATATCTTCTCACAAAAAATTAATGATAATTAATAAATATAATTATACCTTAATAATAGTTTTTTGAAAAATTCAATAAAATAAAATAATTTATTATGTTTTTTTTATTAGTATGCTAATTTTATTTCAATAAACTGATATGAATAATATTTATTTAAAATAATAAATGATTAAGAGAGAAAAATTAAATAAATTAATTAATAAAATAAAGATATTAATTACTTGTTTGTTTTCACTCATATATAAAAAAATTATAAATAAAGAAATATAATTTTTATCTTTCTATATTTTTATTTTTATTTTCTTTCTAATTGACTTTTTTTATCTTGTATTTATTATTCTTTCTTTTTACTATTTTCTTTATATGTTCTATAGATTTGTAAAACATAATAATAATAATAACAAAAAAATTTAATTTATATTTTTTCTATATAACTAATGATAGTGTGATTTTGACGTATTTTAATAAAAAGAAAATATGATTATACTTCAAGGTAATCTTTAATTTAATTTAATTTTTCTTATTCAAAAGTGTAAATGGTTCTTTTTATTTTGTTTTCTTTATAACTATTAGAATTTTCAGTTTTGAACGGGGGTTGAATTGTTGAGGATGTTATGCATTACTGGACTCATTTTACCCAAAAACATATTACATATTTTTTATGTGACGATATTTTTAATAATAATGAATAAAACGTTAACAAAATAAATCATAAGTAATTTAAGAAAATTAAATTATATGAGACACAAAAAATTTAATATTTAAGAAAAAATTTCACCCAATAATTAATGTAATTATCCGAAATCAAAATAACATAACTAATTACAATTCATTTACACTAGTTTTAATCCGTTATCCTCTTTATTTTTCTTACATAACCTAGAATGACATTTATGTAAAAATATAAGAAAATAGAAAATAAACTTTCTTTTCCATTAAATAAAACCATCACTCACAGTTTGTAAAAGAAAAAAAATGAACTAAAACAATTAGTGGATTGTGAGCTTTTGTGACACTTATTTAAATTAATATTTGAGCCAATTATGACAATTCAACTTGGTATTACGTCATCAAGGCATGATCTAGGCCTTTAAGAATTTATTTATGTTTCCTACATCGAACAAAATTTAATGTTAATTAAATCTAAAATATATACAAAACACCCAAACCAGTCGGTTACTACCCAGGTTAAAACTCATTCTATCATGGTATAACGACAATGATTTTAGAATGTAAAAAAACACTCCGTGTAAGATTAGTAAAAAGGATATTTTTTTAAATCTCTATAATTATTTATATTAAAATTAGATATTTTAAATTGACTAATAATAAAAAAATTTCACTTGTACAAGTTAATCATATAATACAATATGATATTATTTTTAATTTAATTTTTTAATATTATTAAAATATAATTTTTCTCATTTATAAATTACTTAATTTTTTTATTTTTATTTAATATAAATTTTAACTTACATTTAAATTCTTAATTTCTTATGACTTTTACTGTATACAAAGATTTTTACAAAAGAAAAAATAAATAATTTTTCTATAAATTAAAATCAATTTATACAAAATGTATATAATTTTATCAATTTTGTTAATTATATTTAACTAATTTTAAGTTATGAAAAAAACTATTTTTTTCTTTCCTAAAATTACTATAGAAAAGTTTTTCAAACCCACTCTAGATATAATTATCTTTCATTATATTTGTTGTCGTTTTCATGCCAAAATAAGGGACCACACTGCCATGCCTGCATTTTGCAACTCACCAACGTTTTGTTTGTTTCCTTTCGTCAACTATGTTGTTGTTGTTATAATAATATACGAAACATACCATGATATGATTTGTTGATAACTTTTTATCTTAAACAGTGATAACAGTTTGATTTTTGTCCCAGTTTGTAAAGCTGAAATCGACTTTAATTTTTTTTTTTTTTTAACAATTCATTAAATATAATTTATAAAATATAAAATTATTTTTTAAAATAAGATACTTTTATTCAGAAAATTTCAAAAATAGTTCAACAACTTGAACAATTAAATGACCATTTAATTCGAAAACCTCAACTCCGGAATATCCTCAATTATATATATCCTAATTCACTGGAAAAAAATATATAATACATAGTGAACAAATAAAATCCTAGTCATCATCATAATTTATGATTATTTATATGTGATGGAGATTAAAGTAGGGGTGAAAATCAACGTCCAATTCAAAATATGAATTTTTTTATTTTTTATTTTTATATTTAACCCCTAAAATATTTAATATTATTTCTCAATTAGTGCCTCTTTCTTGTGTGAGAGGGCTAAAGAACATTGCACCTATAAAGTACTAAAGTAACCATTGCCCTCTATATAAGGTCAAAGAGTCCAGCACACAGTGACTAAAACCGCCCACTGAAGAGTAGTTGGTGTTACCCTTTGGGTGGATTCCTGCAACACAATGGCCCTAGTTCATGGCAGTTGGGTCAAGGTTTGTTATTCTCACTTTCTCTCTTTTTAACTCCTTCTTTGATTCATTAAAATCATATTTGGTTCATATGAAATCATATGTCAAGAATCCCGTTTCTTCTACCCTTTTGATGCATCTTGCACGTTCTTCTCTCTGGTGTTTCCAGTTGGAGTCTTTTTCTCAAAAGCATGAGCTTTTGAAAATTGGGTGTTTGGTACTGATACTGATTTTCTCAATACCCAAGGTGAATAAAATTCCGATTGAGATTGTTTTCAAGGATAGAGAAGTTGTTGTCAATGAAAAATTGGAATTTTATTTAAGGATTCCTTTGGGGTTTTCTTCTTTTGATAGGTCATTGAGCCTTACAAGGGAGCAAAGAGTTTATGTCAAAATCAAGTTTTCAGTGAAAATAACTCCAATTCTTACACATTTTTCTCCGGATAAATTTGTCTACGGTGAGAAGTCCATGTTTGGATCAAGTTTTCGCAAGCAATTTTATGAAAAATACATTAAAAAGAAATTAAAATTAGTTTATATACAATTTAATTTACAGAAGATTTCAAATCCCTTTTCAGCTTGATCAAAGAGGAGAAGGGCAAGGAGCAAGAAGCTCACATGCTATAGCAGTAGTAGCACAGAAGGTGTATGCATTCGGCGGCGAATTCGTGCCACGTGTCCCGGTTGATAACAACGTTCACGTGTTCGACCTAGAGACTTTAACCTGGTCTGTGGCTGATGCATCAGGTGATACCCCACCGCCACGCGTCGGAGTCACAATGGCCGCAGTGGGAGAAACCATTTATGTCTTCGGTGGAAGAGACAGTGAACACAACGAACTCAATGAACTCTATTCTTTTGACACAAGGGCCAATAAATGGGCCTTAGTTTCACGCGGGGATATTGGGCCTCCTCATCGGAGCTACCACTCCATGACCGCCGATGACCGACACGTGTATGTCTTTGGCGGCTGTGGAGTTCACAGGAGGCTCAATGATTTGTGGGCTTTTGATGTTGTTGAGAGCAAGTGGGTGGAGTTACCCTCTCCGGGTGAGAGTTGCAAGGGGAGAGGTGGCCCGGGCCTGGCCGTGGCCCAAGGAAAAATATGGGTGGTGTATGGGTTCTCCGGGGAGGAAATGGATGATGTGCATTGCTTTGATCCGGCCCATGAAACATGGACCCAGGTTGAGACAAGTGGGCTGAAGCCCACGGCCCGTAGTGTGTTTTGCACCCATAGTAATGGGAAACATATAATTGTGTATGGTGGGGAAATTGATCCTAGTGACCAAGGTCACATGGGTGCTGGTCAATTTTCTGGTGAGGTTTATGCATTGGACACTGAGACATTAGCATGGAAGAGATTGGAGGATGAGGTGGACTCCGGCGGCGGTCACCCGGGGCCACGAGGGTGGTGTGCTTTCGCCGGAGCTCGGCGGGGCGGCCATGAGGGGTTGTTGGTGTATGGTGGCAACTCTCCTAGCAATGATAGGCTTGATGACATTTTCTTCCTTGCTCTTTCTCAAGAGGTGAATTAACTGGTGATTGGTATGGTATGATATGGTTGCATGTTATATGATGAATTTTCAATGTGTTAGTGATGAATTAAAAATATACCTAAATGTACGTAGTTTGTGAAAGTGCTTTGTGTTTTTGTAAAGGAATAAATTATCAAGTGTATGTATGTATGATCAATTCCCAAATAATGGATGAGTTGGTGACTCACCAATTCATAATTTTATGTTTAAATATCAATTCTTAATAAATTACAATGCACAATTTTTTTAATTAAATTCAAATAAATTAACTTAAAATTGGAATGAAAATATGCGTATAAATTAATACGCATAATCACAAACAAATCACTCTCGCGAATTGATGCTATGAAAAATGTGACACTATTTTGTGCAGTTTTGTTTTCAATTAACAATCTCCTTCGAATTATTTATTATCTTTCACATGAAAGTTTAATTCATTTAATCTCAATATAATTATTCATTTAGTAGAGTAAGTATATGGAATAACTACTACCACACGCCAAGTAGGTTTAAAATATTGAACCCGGGTTTGAATAATTCTTCGCTCTGATTTGAATAAGGAAATAATGGTCATCGGAACCCAGATTAGATATCTAAAAGTAAAGTTGGTTGCTAATTGAAAATTATCTTAATTTATTTTAACTAGTCATTTGGTTAATAAATCATTTTTTATATTCGCAACTTGATATAAAAGGGAAATTAAATTATTACAACATAAATGGGTACTATTTTATTGGTATTTGGACATACACCAATTTGGTTTATTTCCCCTACTTGAAATATATGGAATCACTTAAGTGAAAAGTGGTAAAACTATAACATACTGATATGGTTCAACTAGACAAAAAGCTCTTATTTGGATACAAAGTGCGATGGTGAACACAAGCACAGATGGGTTGGAGGCAGGAAGAGTTCCTAGCTATGACAGAAGAAGTCAACTCAAAGAATTTGATGATTCAAAGGTTGGTGTCCAAGGACTGGTAGAAAAGGGTGTGACAAAGGTTCCACCTATTTTCCGTAGTAGCAGATCTAATCTCAGTGAAGACATAACCACAGAATCAAACGCAAAGCTTACCATACCCACCATTGACCTCACAGACATCCATGATGACCTTACTTTGAGAGATGATGTTGTGGGAAAACTTAGATATGCATGTCAGAAGTGGGGCTTCTTTCAGGTTATTAATCATGGAATTCCAACTCATGTTTTGGATGAGATGATCAAAGGAATATCCAGGTTTCATGAACAAGATGCCAAGGTCAGGAAAAAGTACTACACACGTGATTTGAACAAGAAAGTTCTTTATCTTTCCAACTTTAGTCTTTACAAAGACCCATCTACTGATTGGAGGGATACACTTGCATTTTTCTTGACACCTAATCCACCCAAAGCAGAAGAGTTGCCTGAAGTTTGTAGGTTTGTGATAATATTATTTTTAACATTGGATTTTTTTGGACTTGTTGTCACTTCAACTTATGAATAATTCTCTTATTGTTGATAATATCTATACAACAATTTTAGATTGGTGATGGGAATATGATAAATCTTTCACTAAGTTATTCCTAAATCATCCTGTTCTTGCCTTGGTAAGTATCTTACTGTTTACCAATTTATCGCAGAAAGTATTTATTGGATTAGACGGTTGGATATATTTTTCAATAAGAATTACAGAAGAAAAAAAACACTCAAATGAATCAAACTTCTTTCAGAAATTAAAATCAACACAGAAATTAAAATCAACATTTTGGACTTCAATTGCAGATATATTGTACCTGAGTACACAACAAAAGTAGTGGCACTTGCTTCTACTTTGTTTGGTTTGGTGTCAGAGGCTCTTGGCCTTGATCATTTGCACCTTAAAGAAATGGGATGTGAAGAAGGGCATCTTCTTCTGTGTCATTACTACCCTGCATGCCCTGAGCCTGAGTTAACTATGGGCACTAGCAAGCACACAGATGGTGCCTTCATGACAATACTTTTGCAAGACCAAATGGGTGGTCTTCAAATTCTTCATGAAAATCAATGGATTGATGTACCTCCAATACATGGAGCTCTTGTAGTGAACATTGGAGATCTTCTGCAGGTGGGTTAATCTGCATTAACAACGTTTTCATTCAACAGTAAATACTTTCAATTGCCTATGCATAAAGAACAACACTGTGATTAACTATGGTGGATTTTAGAACCAAGAATTTGTGTGTTTGTTAGTTTGAAATGGTTACTCCATGGGACAGTTGGAATGGAATGATATAGTTTAGATAGGTGAGGAGGAAAAGTGTGACAAACAGTACTGAAAACAGTACCTTATGATATTGATATGATGCATATTGATGTAATACAAAATACTAACATAATAATTCTATTTATATTAGATGACTGTTGATTCGAAAATACAAGCTTGTAAGATATAGCAGAACGTGAGTGCAGAAAGGTCATTAGATAGCCAGAAGATACTTTTGGTTCTAGAATTTGATTTGCATTCACCCAATTACCTCACTATTCTTGGAAAAATGGTTCTCATTTATACATCTTTTCTATTCATTTACTTTGGTTTATTTATCCTACGTTATAATTTTGCTTACTGTGCTTCCTAGGTCTTGGTAAATCTTTCTGTCTAACTATCAAGCCTAAACATAAGTATACAGATACAAAAATAAGGCTTGGAGAAAAGTTACATACTTCAACTTTTAACATTCAATGAAGCGAAAAATGGTTTCAAGGACAATTACAAATTACCATGCTTCAATTGAAATTAAAATTAATTAAAGTTTTGTGGTATTTTTGTGTGTGCAGCTAGTGAGTAATGACAAATTCATCAGTGTTCAACACAGAGTTTTACCAACCAATCTAGGCTCAAGAACATCAATTGCATCCTTTTTCAGAATTGGTGATCAATCACCAGAGAATCTCTCAAAAGTTCTTGGTCCAATCAAGGAACTGTTATCTGAAAACAATCCACCAGTGTACAGAGAAACATCTTTAAAAGACTACTTGATACATCAATACACAAAGAGCATTGGAGCTTCCTCAATATCATTCTTAAAGTTGTGATTATGAACAAATGCATGAAACACTTGATGTTTTAAGAATGAGTTGTGGTTAATCTCATTCTATTAAACTTTGGTACAAGGCTATATGGTTTCAAGAACTGAAAACTATACTTTATGTCATTTAACTTAATAATATTATTTAATTTTGTACATAAAATATTGTATAAGCCCGTCTAGCTCAGTTGGTAGAGCGCAAGGCTCTTAACCTTGTGGTCGTGGGGGTTCGAGCCCCACGGTGGGCGTTTTTGATTTTTTTTTTCTTTTTTGTTTTTGAAAACTCTTCCTCTCTCCATTGTTTTGTGGATGAACAAACATCATATAATAGGATAAGGAACACATCAATTTTATTATGCTTTTGAAAACTTTTCCTCTCCATTGTTTTATGGACGAACAAACATCATGAAAAAGGATAAGGAACTGAGGATAAGATACCTTCCAATTGCACCCTTACATGTAAAAGCACTTCATAATGCTTATCAAGCTTCTCTGTCCTTTTCCAACAGTAGATACACTCAAACTTTACTGGTCACAGACTAAAACAATTATAAATGTTTGAAACACCCTTTACTTTGTATAACTAAAGAGGGTACAAATCCATGCTTATGATATTTGAATAGTGGTTGCTTCAATATTAAGTTGTCCTACATCCAGGGAATTTTGGGAAAAGGATGCCTCTAATGCATTCCCCTTCTACGGAAAATTCCAAAATAAAACATTCTTCATTCTCTCTTCCATATACTTACTCTTCAGTCCTGATGTTTTGAACACTTCACATATTTGATGCATATATAGTCTCTCAAAATGGTAGTCACGAGCACAAATGAGGTGGAGGTAGAAACAGTTTCAAGTTATGACAGGAAGAGTGAACTCAAGACTTTTGATGATTCAAAGGCTGGTGTTCAAGGACTGGTAGAAAATGGTGTAGCAAAAGTTCCACGTATGTTTTATTATGAGCACTCTAATGATCTCAGTGATGGCTTGGCCAGTGCAGCAAAATCAAAGATCAGCATCCCCGCAATTGATCTCACTGGCATCCATGATGATCCTAATCTAAGAGATGGTGTTGTGAGAAAAGTTAGATATGCATGTGAGAAATGGGGGTTTTTTCAGGTCATAAATCATGGAATTCCAACTCATGTTTTGGATGAAATGATCAAAGGAACTGGGCGGTTTCACCAACAAGATGCAGAGGTAAGGAAAGAGTACTACACTCGTGATTTCAGCAGAAAAGTTGCTTATCTTTCCAATTATACTCTTTATGAAGACCCTTCTGCTGATTGGAGAGATACTATTGCATTTTCCTTGGCACCGGATCACCCCAAAGCTGAAGAATTTCCTGCAGTTTGTAGGTTTGTGATAATAGTAATACTACTTTGAACATTATTAACACTTACACATGCTAGAATTTACTAAGGATGGATGACTAATTCTTTGGGACTGAATCTAATTGGTGATCATTACACTGAATTTTTTGTTAAGGGAACATAGTAAATCTATTACTATTTTCCGAACAAATCTTTTAGAACTGAAAGTTTTCATTATGTTGGAAAATCCTACATCTTTTTGATGAGGAACTTATAAACCTTACACACTTTTTAGATAACTTTAAGATGAAACATGATATTAGACCTTCTAACTCATCTTATGTAATGGCCTATTGTTACCTCAATTCATGATATTAGAGCTTCTATCTCATCTTGTGTATGGCCTATTCTTACCTCAATTCTACGCCTACTGATTTTAGGATGAAATGTAACACATTAGATTTACTCTTTAAGATGTACATGCAATAATGTATTTATTTCCATTTTTACTTCTTTTGTGCTTGATGAGCTGACACCCTTGCAGAGATATTGTGATCGAATACTCAAAGAAAATAATGGTTCTTGCTTATGCCTCCTTGTTCGAGTTACTGTCAGAGGCTCTTGGCCTTGATCGTTTCTACCTTAAAGAAAAGGGTTGTGCTGAAGGGCTACTTCTTCTATGCAACTTTTACCCTGCATGTCCTGAGCCTGCATTAACTATGGGAAATAAAAAGCACTCAGATGGCAACATCATGACTATACTTTTGCAAGATCAGATGGGTGGCCTTCAAGTTCTTCATGACAGTCAATGGATTGATGTACCTTCCATGCACGGGGCTCTCGTAGTGAACGTTGGGGATCTTCTGCAGGTGGGTTTTTCATGCATAAAATAACATTGTCATTCAACTTCATAAAATGTTTTGGTTTGATTCCTTGATTGATCTTTATGCTTATATAATCTTTACATTAACAACCTACTCATCTTAGTTTCAATATGTGCACTTTTTTACTTGTTTTTGTTCCTTCTCATACACTTTTTAATCCGTTTTAGTTTCTATAGTTTCAAAAGACGAAGATTGGAATATATTAAAAGGTAAATGGTTAGGATCTAATAACATAAAGTTTGTACATGTACATAGAATAAACGAGTAGTAAACAAACAAAAAATTTTCTTCAGTGAATATAGTTTGATTGGTACGTTTTGTGAGACAGTTTTGGTTCATCCTTCGTAAAATAACATTCTCATTTAACTTTATAAATAATTCTCGTATATTGCAGGGTAATGCTATTTTCACTAAAACAAATTACAACGTTTTTTAACTTATTTTTCTGTCAATCTCAGTCGTGGATTCACATTTTTCTCCTTTTTCCCTTCCTATTTCTCTCCTTGTTACACAAAGTTATTGTAAAAAACAAATGAAAATAATACTAATCTGCATTATAGATATGTGGAAAAGATCAATTTTTTATGGTTGTTGACATGTAGATGATGAGGCAAGCCCAAATATTTAAAGACTAACAAGTTGCTTAAAGTAATGTTGCTATTGTATGTTTTACTGTGATTTGAAAAAAACAAAAGTTATGGGGATTTCACTTGAAAATCTTAGTAGTGAGGAATACATAATCTCCATGGGATTTATGCCATTTAGTGTTACACTTCACCAGTGATTATACAAATCAAATATGAATTGAATAGTAATGATCAGCTTCACTGTTTTTCTGTACAGCTTATGACTAATGACAAATTTATCAGTGTTCAACATAGAGTCCTAGCAAAGAATCAAGGCCCTAGAATTTCAGTTGCATCCTTTTTCAGAATAGGCATATCAAGAGTCTTTGGTCCAATAAAGGAATTGATTTGTGAAGACCATCCACCGCTATACAGAGATGTTTCCTTAAGAGATTACATGGCACATCGTTATGCAAGTGGCAGTGGAACTTCTGCACTGTTGCACTTCAAGCTGTGATCTCATGAACAATTGCTCGCAATCCTGATGTTTTTGGAAACTAAAGTGAGTTTGAGGATGTATATTCTATTTCTGGAATCTAAAATAAATTAGCTATGAATTAATTATTATATTTTGTTCTATAACTATTTCAATAAGATATCCCTGTAAAATGTATGCATCAGTAAGTGTTCTTGGAATACTCTGATTAAAAAATTCCTCTTTTTAATGAACTATGAAAGGTTCAAGATGAAGGAGTAGGTGACAATGCTTTGATTTGAATTTGAGTTTTTCATAAGAGGGGAATAAACTGAGGCATCCTCATTTTCTTTCTCTGAATTCTCTGCACATAAGACATCTCAATAATTGTCATAGTATGAGAACTTAGATTAAACAAAGTATCTAAGTTCAACCATTGAAAGTTATAGCATAGTTGAAGCGTGATAATCTACCTAAAGGATAGGTCAGCAGCATCAATATTATTTTAGTACATTTTTAAATCTAGGTTTTGTTCTTATTGCTATTGGCTAGAAGTCAAAAGTAAAACCACCCTGTCCTCATCCATGCACAGCTTAAGAGATAAGGATTATATAGTTTAATTGCGTGAAATTTTAAAATTCTTTTATATGGTATGTGATCACCCCAAACCATGGTAAGTGGCACATAGAAAGCAACACAAATGTATTTCTTTTATGATGGTCATATGTGCTGATCACAACTTATCCATCCCCAATAATTTACTTTAGGTGGGGACAGGGACTAATGGAGGAATATTAGTATTATTTTCCTACCTAAGAAATTTAGCATGAACAAAGCTTCCCAAAAGAAAATTGACATATCAGCAAAGCAAAACAAAGAAATTTCTCATTACAATATTTCTCTTGAAGGAGTACTGGCAACACATTCTTTTAATACGTAGTCAAGAATGTGGTGATTAAACAGGGTGTGAAGTTCATACAATTTTATAATTTTCAATAAATTTTAATTAATAATAAAAGTATGTAAAGGAAAATGTACTGTTACCACCTATAATTTCTTTCTCTTGCTAGCAGGTATCATTTTCTATGTACATGAAGCATATCAACGATTATACCTTCAAACAGCAAGTGCCAAAATAGCTTGGTTGCAAGCCAAATAATAGTACAGAATTACAGTCCAATAATACGAATATAAGATCCTTAACCTTATTGAGTTTGATAAATGTTACAATTTCTGATGTATTATGTATCTATGTAACTTATTGTGCTAAATCAACCACATCAATCCAACTCAAATCTTGAAGTGATCAAGAGCAGAGGTCCCATCAAGGCCTTTTGCTTTATAGTATTGGGCATATTCCTTAACTGTGGTTTCTCTGTATTTGGGAGGATTGTCTTCTGATAATAACTCTTTTATAGGTCCATAGAGTTTCGGTGTTGGGTTAAGAATTTCGCTGAAAAAGCATGCAACAGATATCCTTGGACCTATGAGATTTGCCACTACTCTATGTTCTACACTCTTGAATCTGTCATTTGTTATAAGCTGCAGTTAAACAAAAGTAATAATAATCAGTCACATTCATATAAATTTCAATTTACATATCATCAGAACTTGTAAAGTTGTAAAATGTATCAGGCTTTTGCTTTTTACCCTGTAAAAATATTATCACAAATTTGTGGCGGTTTTAGGTGTTGTACTTCTGTTGTGGTTGATTTAGTACAACACCCAAAACCACTCCAAATATGAATATAAGAATATGATACTCCTAGTCACCCATGCAGAATAAAAAAAAGGGTAAATTACACTAATTACTTCTGAGGTTTCGTGAAAGTACATAAACTTATCTTGATTGTTTGAAGAACATTACACCGACACTCCTTACATATAACACTAATCTCCTTAATTATTTGAAAAAAATACTACTCTTATATTTTACAAAACTTCACAAGTTATTAGTGCAATTTACTCTAACAATAATGAACTTGCCTGTAGAAGATCACCAATGTTAACTACAAGAGCCCCAGGTTCTGGGGCTATGTCAATCCATGAGTTCTTGTAAAGAACTTGAAGACCACCAATATGATCCTGGAGAACCAATGTGAGGAAACTGTTATCAGAATGCTTGGTGGTTCCCAAAGTTAATTCTGGTTCAGGGCAAGCAGGGTAGTAATGGCCGAGTGAAATAATCCCCTCAGCACAACCCAAGTCTTTCAAATGGTCTGGATGCAGCCCTAGAGCTTCAGATAGTAATTCAAATAGTGTAATTCCAAGTTTCATCATATATGCCCCATATTCCAGCAGTATATCCCTACAAGGAGATGCAGTCAGTTAGCAATTAATTAAATGAATTATGATTGAATCTTTGTAACTTGTATTTGTCTGTTGTATATTTGTGTGTCTCACTACCGTTGTTCATAAATTCACACAAATAATTTATATAGCCTACTGTGCTACTAAAAGGTTGAATCTTTTCACGAACCATGCATACCCTTTATTCACAGTAACTTCAAACAACTATAATATGAGCTCAACTTTCACGTGTTATCCTATAAATTATCTTAAAAATTACTTGCCATATTGTATGAAAACATCACACTATCAATGTAAACATACTTCATCTTAGTGACATAAAATGTAAGGCACTAAACATACAAAATCTTACCTGCATACTACTGGCAAGTCTTCAGGTTTGGGAGGATTAGGAGCCAGATAACACATAAAAGTGTCCCTCCAATTGAGTGCTGGTGAAATGTACAAGTCAAAATTGCTATTATAAACAAAAGGTCTCATCTGCTCCCGGGTATATAGATGTTTTTTCAGCTCAATATCTTGTTCATAGAACCTGCGTACCCCATCTTTCAAGTACTCTAGAACAGTCACAGGGATGCCATGGTTGACCACTTGAAAGAAACCCCATTTCTCAGATGCTTCTCTTATTCTGCCAATAACTTCTAGGCGTGAACTTGCATCCTGCCCAACTTCTGCAAGGTCTATAACAGGAATAATCTGTGCTGTGCTGCCCGAATTCGAGAACTCCGCATGTTCATCAGGTGGATGATGAAACAATCTTGGGATCTTTGTGATCCCTTGATCAACAAGGCCTTTAACACCAGCTTTTGTGTCATCAAATTCTTTGAGTTCACGCAGCCTCTCAGTGTTTATTTCCACAGTACCTGCAATTTCATCTGTAATAGTAGTAACTTCCATGCTCCTTCTCCTTGTTGGAGGTAATAGTGATGAATAACTTTGGTACTATTATGTGATAAGATAAACACTTGTACGATAAGAAGGGACTTCCACATTAGACTCCACTCCATAGTCAATGCTGATTTTTTTGTGGCCATCCTTTAATAGCCACTGCACTTGTTCTTACTCTTTTTTCTTTTTTCTTTTTCCTAAATCTTAAATTTAGTTCTGATCACACTAGATTTATTTCTTATATGCATTAAATTTTTTGTATTTTTTTTTGTATTTACCAAACCCAGAAAGTTTGCAGAGAATAAATAAAATATCATCAACTGGTTTCACAATAAGTTATTTCTCCTTCATTTTTCTTAAACATTTTTTCTAAAGAATAATTGAAAACTATATTTTCAATATGTAAATTGAAGGGGTGTTCAAAGTGTGCGATTATTTTACACAACTAATTTAAGTTAGGAGTTATACACAGTGACACATCTAACACAATTTATTTTTTAAATAAAATATATAATTTTATTCAATTCAAGTATTAATATTTATACCTCTCAATTACACATATGAGATTCAAATATGTAATATTAGAACAACAAAATAAAAAGTTTTTGTATATATATAGTCCGTCCTTAGTTAAAAATGAACTCGTTATTTAAACCGATAAAATTGATTTCATAATTATAAAATATTGGGTTTATTTAGTTTGATTTTTAAATAAAATTGAACTAAACTGTATTTGAATTTTAGGATTGATTCAAGTGATGTTTTAATAAAAAAACTGAAATAAAATCAAGCCCTAACCTATAGAATTAACACATAATATTAAATTAATACTTATTCTCAACTTTAATTACTTTTTTAAACTTTGAAACATATTTAGAAAAAAATACTATTTATAAATAATATTAAGGATATAAATTAAGAAATATATAATTATATATGTCTAAGTATAATATTTTAAATTTAGTCGTTAAAATACATTATGAAAAATAGAAATTAAAAATAAATACTTTATAAATATTTATTTAAATTTAAAATAAAAGTAATGATTATAAAGAATACTAAATTAGTATGCAATAATAGAAGTTATTACTGTGAATATTCACCTAAAACTTGATTTTTTTTTGAGTAAAAATAGTATGTAATAATATTATAAAAAAAATAGTAATTGTATAACTAAGATACTTGTAAATAATACTTATAATAGTTAAAACATAACATAAATTACAATTATGTAATCGTCTTTATAAATAAATAGTTTAGTGTTTAATTTAACTTGTGATGAAGTTAACTAATTTAAAAATTTAATAATAAAACATAAATAAAACTAATAATATTTTAAAATAAAATTCAATTTTAGAACAACTACAATTAAAATTACTTATTATAAACACAGAAAATTCAAGTAGATCTAAACATAGTATTTACAATAAAAAATATATTCATATATTAAATAAATTGTAAATTTATATTTATATTTATTGATTATTTTTCCTTTCGACTTTGAAAATTTCATATAGGGAAATACATCATTATTCTTACTGAAATAAATAATAAATCATAACAAAATTTCAATACCCTTAATATATTATAAGACACAAAATTTGTCCAATTAAAATATAATTATATTTAATACAATAGTAAATGTAAAAAAAACAATCTTTTTATTTATGTTGATATTTAAAAAAAAAATACTAAATTTAAATGCAAAGAAGTAAAATTTAAACAACAACAATAAAAAGAATTCATGTTTCATAGGAGTTAACATGAAAACTTACTATTAATCTAATAATAATAGTAATTCAAAATAATCGGCTTTTTCAATGAGTTAAAAATATTAGCATTTTACGGATCAAATTTTTAAAAAATTTATGTAAAGAGGTTAGTTAAATCATGTTACATTTTAGGATTTCAAAATAATAAAAAAAATAGTTGGATTTTAGAATAATAAAATTAAAATCGTATTTAACGTAATATTTTTTTTTAGAATTAAAGTTGTATTACATATCACAATTTTAGTTATATTCTTATATAATACGATTTTATATTTTTTTTATAATTACATTATTTTTGTTAGATAAATATATTATTTAAATAATTAATAATTTATTTATTTATTATATATGTATATATATTATAAAATATTATATTATTTATTTATTTTTATCAATTATTACTTTCTATAAATTTTGTATAAATAATAAAAATAGAAAAAAATATTAATATATATATATATATATATATATATATATATTCAGTTTTCTTACAAGTAAATTAAGTTTTTTAGATAAATATATTATTTAAAAAACTAATAATTTATTTATTTATTGTTATATAAATATATTTATATATATATATATATTAGAAGTTATAAAATATTATATTAATTATTTATTTTATTTATATTAATTATTATTTTATATAATTTTTATTTAAGTAGTATATAAATAATAATTTTTTAATTATATTAATAATATAAAATTAATTAAAATATATTTAATTTTAATTTTAAAATAAATAATATAACACGATTTAAATTTAAAAATATATTTATTAATATATATTTATTTAAAAAAATTATTTTTTTATTTATGTAAAATAATAATTGATATAAATAATTAATATAATATTTTATAACATAAATATGTATAATAAAAAAATAAATAAATTATTAATTTTTTAAATAATATATTTATCTATCAAAATTAATTTAATTATTAAAAAAACTAAAATCGTATATATATATATATATATATATATATGTGTGTGTGTGTGTATTACCTAGTAGGACTTTAGTTCTTAAAAACAATTATATTAAATTGAATTCGTTATAAATCACACCATTTTAATTATACTATTCAAAAATCGTCTGTGTTACACGATTCCTTGATTTTAAAATCATGCAATTTAACAGGATTTAACCCCTTTACATGATTTTTTAAAAACTTGACTCATATCCGTCAAATACTAACATTTTAACCCATTTTGGTGAAAAAGCCCAAAATAATCAAATAAATAGATATTTCAGTGCAATTTGTCATGTATCTTTTGAGAAGCAAGCATTTGTAAAAATAAAAATAAAAATGGAGATTTTCAAGAAAAGTAAGAAAATGGTGTCATGGTTTGATTTTAAAAATCACAAATGGCTTAGATCCGTTTGATGTGACTTGGTCTTGTTAAAATGGAAAGTGTAATATCTCATTACCTTTCTATTTTCTTTTGTTTCCGTCATTTATGGATTCCTTTTTAACACTTCAAATTTTTGAACTAAACTTTCGTTTCTGCAGTTTTCTCACCACCACAGAGGTGACATGTCTCCCCCTTCTCTCCCTATTGCTGCATTTGCTTCCATTTTTTCTACAAACTTTTTATTTGTTCTTTTGATTCTTTCATCTGATATTTCTTTCAAATTATAGTTTTGAAGGAAAAGAAAAACCATAATTTCACATAAAAAATGGAAAATTTATGTTGGTAAATAGAGCTAAATTGGATTTCATAATCACTATATGTATTTGTGAAAAGGGTTTTGTTACATAGAACATAGTAGTTTTTTCTTTTGTTTAGGCTTTCAGAAGCATTATTTGCTGAATTTGTGATTTGTGATCTATTTGAATATATTGAAAGTTATTAACCATTGAGTTTCGAATCTTTTGTTATCAGATGTTGAACTGTTATGTTATTGCTTTCATTATGGTGTTTTCACCATTTATTGCAATATCAAACGCAAGTGCTGGTGATGCTGACCCACTTTACAGGTACAAACATAACATATCACTCTAATCTTTCTTCAATCTTCTTTTGAAAACATGTCAATTGTTATTTCAATTTGGAACACATTTTACGCAGAGAGTAAATTATGGGGTGTTTTTATGTTCTTGTTTTGCTTTGGACATTAGGAGCTGTGTAAAACAGTGTGAAGAAACTGGATGCATCGGGGAGAGATGTTTTCCAAACTGTAAAATTGCTTCTGATGAAGCCCCTATTGTTGGCCCTCCATGGAACATGTTAGGGCCTCTTTATGCACAATGGAAAAAGGGACATTCTAAAAGTAACTGTCGATACTATTGCATGCTTGATAGAGAGAAAGAAAGGGAGTTACTGAAGAAAGATCCAGAAAAATACCATGGTAAATGGCTCTTCAAGTGTATCTATGGAATACAGGTTTGTTAGTAGATAACTCATTCATTCTATACTCATTGCACTGTTATCTAATCAAAATTGAAATTTCACTTCTTGTTATCTGTATGACCATTTAATGCAAATTTACTACTGATTATCAGATACAATTGTTATTATGATTAGAGAATAATACAAATAATAACCCCTGTGAAATGTAAATTGATGTTCAAAGACACCAAGATTTTGTGTATGATCTAACATGTCTTTCATTTTTCAGTATCCTGCTTCCATGGCTTTCTCTTTCCTCAATCTTGTAATGCATTTTCATGGTTGGATGTCTTTTATCACTCTTCTATACAATAAACTTCCTTTAAAGGCACGCAAGAGGCCCTACTATGACTATGCTACTTTGTGGCATATTTATGGACTCTTGTCCATGAATTCCTGGTTTTGGAGTGCAATTTTTCATACTCAGTAAGTCACTTATGCAGATAGTTTTGATGTTGTAATTTTACTAAGGCAAATGATATTCTAATTTATATATGTTTATGCTCTTATTGTTCTTTAAAGGCAACCAAACTAGTTAAAAGAAAAAGAAACAACCTATCTTATTATCTGTTTAATTTAGTAACATGTTTCTTAAAATTTTCTGACAATGAAATGCAGATATTTTGAGTTAATAGAGAGGCTAGACTACTTTTCTGCAGTGGCCCTCCTTGGATATTCCTTGGTTTTGGCCATATTAAGAAGCTTCAATGTAAAAGATGAAGCTACTAGAGTTATGATTCCTGCTCCATTGATATCTTTTGTGGCCACTCATATAATGTACCTAAACTTCTATAAACTAGACTATGGTAAGTATTCTCAAGTAATCTTTATACTACTAGATACTCCCCAGGACAAGATATCAATGTTAATATATGTTCACTTTAACTGTTTTTTTTTTTTCTTTTTCTTATTCATGTCATTTTTTCCCACTTTCTTATGATTTTCATGGAATGTATTTAAACTTTTCAGAATGGAACTCGAAAGTTTGTCTAATAATGAGTGTAGCACAACTTGTTACATGGGCAATTTGGGGTGGTGTCAGTCACCATCCCTCACGGTGGAAGCTTCTGTTTGTAGTTCTTATCAGTGGGCTTGCAGTTTCCCTGCAGATATATGATTTCCCTCCTTACGAAGGACTCATAGATGCAGAAGCTCTTAGGCATGCCATTACTATTCCTCTTACCTACCTTTGGTGGAGTTTCATTAGAGATGACGCTGCATTTCTAACCTCTGAACGTTTAAAGAGTTCCAAGAAATCTAAGTAGCTTTTGCTTGTTTTCAATTTTAGTTCTTGTTTCTATTTAGATGCCCATTACTTAGTTTTGTATTCATAGTTGAGAAAATATGATGAAATTTACCTTATATAATGTCTTCTTTAACATACCAAAATATTCTTTCTATTTATCTTCATTCATATTATAATTCCAAAGAGAAAATAAATGAAATTTTGAAATAGAAAAGTGATGAAAATTTAAAATTTTGATTTAGGAATTGAAAATAATAAAATATAGAAATCGAAAACAGAATAAAGAAAGACTGAAAATAGAGTTTGATAAATCTAAAATTAATCATTATAAGAATTAATGAATTTTTAATAAAACGGTAACATAAAAATCATTATTGTTTATATTTTTTTACATAAATAATTGATATTGTTGTCATAAAAAAAGTTAATATTTTCTGTTACTAATTAAATGATATATTAATAAATTAATTGAATATGTAACTAATTTATTAAAGGAATAAAATTGGTGGTTCACTCTCAATTTGTTGTTTAAACATGTCTTTCCTAAAATGTGTAAAGAAGGTTACATTAAAAATTTTGCAAGAGGTATAGGATGCAGAAGAAATTGATATTATAAAAGAATAGGAAATGTTTTTTTCCTCAATTTCAATATTGTACTTTTTGTTATAAGTGACCTTAAACTTTACAAAATAAATAATAATAATAAATTCATTCGTGTACTATAACTTAGAATATACAAATTAATTTGATCTATTTTATCTAATCTCTCTTAAAAATACTTTTTCTTATTATTTTTATTGCATATAAATAAATATGTTTTAAAAAATTAAAAATTATTAAAATTAAATAATAATTTGTAAATTTGTTTTATTATTTAAAAAATATATGCTATTTTATTTATAGCTCTCAAAATTAAGACTCTGACTCCACTAGTATCATAAATATTTTATAAGTACTTTTTTGTTAATAAATTTTAAATAAGATTTTTCAAAAATAATTTTTAAAAATAAATTAAAATAAAAAATTTATCCAAAATTATAATCAAATAAGCTTGTAACCAAAATCTAAAAGTAAGTCCATAAAAAGATCGATGAGATGATAAATCTTTTGTGTTGTACAAGATACCGAAAAGAAATTTCATGTTCCTCATCTATATCACCATGAAAAAAGATATTGTTGACATCTAATTATTTTATATATCAATTATGCATGACAAATATCAATTTATTACAAGAACAGATTGTAGAAAATCAATCTACATCAAGAACTTTAACCCAGTTCTTGAACCAATGACAACAACCACATTTCCAGCTGCTTAACCCAACGTCCACAATTCCGAGACACCAAAAATATAATGAACCCACTGAAGAATCAAGATACTTAAAGAAACTACAACAATCAAATCAATATGCAGATGCAAAAATCTAATCACCGAATGAGTTTCCTCAAAAACAAGAACAAAGAATATCAAGAAAGATAGAAAGATTGCAAAAGAATTCTAATGAGAAAAGAACGCTTCTTTCTTGGAAAATATCTCTAAAGATTGTTTGAATGATTTCTCAAAGATGTTTTTTTAAAAGTTGGTGAAAATCTGTTTATATAGAGATTTTTCTAACTAAGCTGATATAATTAATCGATTAATTCACATTTTAATCGATTAAAATAACTTAGTTTAAATGAATTTAAGCTGATGAAAATATTTTTTAATCGATTAAAAAGATTCTACCAATTTTTTTCAAGACATTTTAAGCTGATAAAAATGTGATTTAATTAATTAAAATAATTCGGATATTTTTCGAGGCGTTTTAACCGATGAAAACGAGATTTAATCAATTAAAAGTGTGATACAAAATTGTTTAAGTGTTTTTAATCTATTATTTCGAAGTTATATCAATTAAAATTATAACGAGAAAGTTTTCTAAAATTTCTTAAGTGAATTTAATCGATTAATTTGAAAATGTACCGGATTAAAACTGCGATAGAAAGTATTCTCAAGTTGTTTAAGTGATTTTAATTGATTATTTCAAAAATGTATCAATTAAAATTGCAACAAAAAGTGTTTTTAAGTTTCTTAAGTGTTTTTAATCGATTATTTCGAAAACATATCAATTAAAACTACTACAAAAGAACATATTAATCTATTAAAGCAATTTTTAATAGATTAAAAATACTTGAGGCACTTTTATACTTTGTAGAAGATAGAAACTCATGTTAGAGGAGAAGATAAATGTTTATAGCTACACAATGTAGATACAGACTCACTAATGGACTAACACAACATCTTTTTTTACTTCATCAAATCTTCTAGTCAAGACTTCCAATATTCTTCTTATTAGCTTCTTCATCAGTTTCTCCCTATTTGATGAAGACACAGAACACTTTCAATCCTACGAAACCATTTGACATATGTGTTAGATGCGGTTAGTATAAGTGAGCTCTCCTTATCTTTTTCAATTCTTTCTCCCCCTTTTGACTTTATCAAAATAGAAGAGAACAAACACGAGTCAAGCCAAAAAATATCATGCAATCATTAAAAGTTCATAGTCCTTTGTTAGAAGCCAGTTAAGTTTACAAACCAATAAGAAAAGAAAATTAGCAGAAAACACAGAAATTAGGTAGAAGTGTAGTGATAAAAAAAAATGGTGTGCAGCAGCAGAATCTTGGTCATCCCATGGACCTTGGTTGAACTGCAAATCATCCAATCTGCTACAGATGTTTGCTATTTGATTACTAAGATTGGAAAATTGATTGTTGGTTTCATGATAGCGTTGAAAAGTCATTTGCATATGTTTCCTCTGGTTTTCCTGTAAGACATTTGAGACAATATTGACATTTCAAACTATGATAGAGGAGTCCCTCGATCTGGTTGTGCATAGTAGGGAGTCAACTCCATGTTCTGAAACTTTTCAGCCATGTACTTGACTTTAGTTGTCACTAGTTGTGCTTATTTTGTAGCATGACGTGAACCAATACCGGCATTCTCTTGTGGTGCATCCTTTTCATCACTCATCTCAGCTTCAGATTTGGAAATCTAATTTCTATCAACTTGAAGTGTAGAGTGGAGTCATCAATCTCGTTCGAAAATTTTGGTGCCTCCACGTATTCACGTGTTAGGCCCACTGCAAAATGCTTAAAAAATTTGTTAATGACCATGGCATAAAGAAGACGAAAATCACTCAATCTTTTAGCTTTGATCATGTGATCCTTGATTACATAAACCCAATTGACTCTAATGTTGTTTTGAATACAGTACATCAAGGTCAAATCTCCTGCATTTAGGAGAGCATGGTTGCTCCCCCTGGGTGTTAACACCCAAGCAATAATGAATGCAAGCAACCTCTGCTCCAGATGCATTTTTCCATCATTCAACACTCTTATTGACACGATTGGAAGAACTGGATTTTGTTGAACTCTAGTAGCTCCGAAACGTTTTCTTTAAAGACCTTCACGCTTTCATCTCTAAGACCAACCACCTGTTCCCGTACAGATGGGGTGATCATAATGTTTACTCCCTTTACTTGAATCCTGATGGTTGAACCATTTACAGTCAGATTGGAGTAGAAGACTCTAACCAAATCTGGCTAAATATTTTTCAGGTATTCCATAAAGGTCTTCAGCCTCTGGTTCTTAAGTTGCCTTCTTAGAGAGGTGAATCCTTCTCTATCAAGCCAAGTGAATTGAATGAATTTTGGGATCACTAGCTCTTTTTGACTAAAATCAGAGATGAAAGTGTTCATCCTATCCAAGTCACCATTGAACCAAGCTTCTAGATGTCCTCTAGGATTTGTTGTAGCAGCTTGTGAAGAGGACTCCCCCTTAATTTTCTTTCTACCCGATTTGGATCTTTTGAACATTTTCAAGAGATTTGTAGAAGATATTTAAGAGATAGAAAGTAGTAAATGAAGAAAGATCAAGGTGTCAAAGAAGATAGCAAGTTAAAAGTTGAGAATGAGAACCAATTTACTCTTAAGGAGGAAAACAGAGTTTGAGTTGATGAAGGATTATTGAGCCTGTGACCTAGTCAATAATTTGTTTTCAATGCACCTGCAATTTTATGATTCAGCTTTTTAAATTGCAGTGGTTCCCTTGACCAACATCATACGTCCAGGCTTTGTGCAGTGAGTAGCAGTTATTTGTCTTGTTATCAATTAATTTGTTCTTGAAGATAAGATTGACTGATCAAACGCTTTTGTCGTTACTGCTTAATTAGATATTTCCAATTTAAATCCTGACCCTTGCTTATCTTAGAAGAGAGTATGTTCAAATCATGCATTTAGAGCTTTTAAACAATTCCAAGAACAAACTAATCGATTATTTTACCAAATAATCAATTAATTTTGTACTGGATACTGGATTAACAAAAATGCAAACAGAATTTTAATCGATTACATCGATAGATAATCAATTAAATTTACACCAATAAATGATTTTAACATATATAATTTGTATTTTAATTGATAAAATCAGACACTTGAAATAAAAAATCCAAACCCGAAAGCTTTTAATCAATTAATTCGATGAATAATCGATTAAAACAAGTATGAAACATTTTATAGAATGTGATTTTAAGTGATTTCAATCAATTATTTTGAGTAATTAATTGATTAAAAGGGAATAACTTCACATGTGAATGTCTTCCAGGATTTTAATCGATTATAAGATAATTTATACCAATTAAACTTATCAGTACATGAGAATTTATGAAAGTTCATGCAATATTTGATAAATCCATAACACCTAACTCAGTTTTAATCATATAGAAATGATCACGAGTTAAAGGTTTTGTGAAATGTCAGCTAGTTGCCTATCAATTTCTATAAAAAAAGATTTCACAGTCACCCTTAGATATATGATCTCTAATGAAATGATGTCCTAGTTTAATATATTTTGTTCTTGAGTGTTATATTGAATTCTTGGTTAATATTATTGCACTGGTATTATCACAAAGCAAAGGAATTTTGTTGAGAATCAACCCATAGTCTTGTAATTGTTGTATTAGCCACAGGGATTGAGCACAGC